CATGAATAATGTTAATGTCATAATGACCCACGTGCAGAAAGAATTGTGCTCTCCATCCACTCAATGAAAAGGAGAGGAAGCTAAATAGTAAATATTATATTATGACTACTTTCAAAGGAGATATATGTTTGGATTGATTTCAATCCGACACTTTTTTCTTCTATAGAAAGGACCCGATGGCCTTACTTTGTTCGGGAGGTACTTTTATCTCACAAATTATCCAACACTTAAATGAGCTATTTGTAGAGGTTTTGCTACATAGCCAGCGTTGGCATTAACAACTGTTTACCTACCAGTCTACCGGAAACGTTGTGAGTCTTTTCGTCTCCTGAAGTCAGCATGCTAAAGAAAAGAGCTAGCCCCGGCCTGTCTCGTCCCTTTCCGATAGCAACCCACTCTAGCGTCCAATCTGCCCTGAAGATGTAGCACTGCTCATAGGTCGTATTATAACCTTGTGTCCTGTAAACACAACAATGGAAAAAGCTTCAGTTTCTGATTCACCACCTACTCATCACCAACTCCGCTGCTGCTGCTGCTGCTGCTGCTGCTGCTGCTGCTGCTGCTGCTGCTGCTGGGCTACTGCTGGTCAACAATGCATAAGGCAGTTTTCAGTTACAACATCATAGTCCAGTATCCACAAATTCCCAGCCTTCCACTTTATCATAATAACCAACATTTTGCAGAAAACACATAAACCTGGCAACTCATAGTTGTTGCATAGATGCTGGTGACACTGAGTTAAAATGGCAAAATTGTTTGAGATGGGTCAAAGTTTTGGTATCAACACTTTGACACTGGTATGGCTGCAGTTCTCTCAAACACACCTTGGTTTTAAATGTGGAGGAATGAAAAAAAAAAAATGCAGTGTTCATCTTCAGGAGACGATTTCTTATTCCAGGCACTGACTCACAGAGACGCTGCAATTTCTTCTAATGGTGTACAGTAGACTATATATATTAGCCTGAATATATTTCAGATGTTTTGTATTGGCTGCGGAAACCTGCCTGCCCTGGGCTGATTCAGTGCAGCCCGTGCCACAGGCAGCAGGGAGCAGATCCATTACCCTGTATGACAGCATGGAATGAAGCAGCGGAGGCCCGATGTGGGCTAAACACAAGGCTGAACACTGCGCTTCCACAACTCCACACTCCAGACTCCACAGGCTCCTTCCCCATTCACATTTCCCCACCAGCAGATCCGATGCAGCACAGGGTCTGGCACGCTGCCTCCACTGGAGTTCAGTGGGAAAAGGGGCTCAGAGAGGCGTGGATGCCAGAAACTGACTTTTACCCGAGTGGTTCGGTTCCCTCCTCTCTCGTGATTCAGTCTTCCAGAATCACCGCAGGCGCTTGCTGCAGCTGTAGCATGTACAGTTAGGGGGTAGGAGAGGATAGTCTAAAACACAGAATCAATTTTTCATGTTGTGTTTAGAGGCTATAAAAGTTTTTTCTCTCATCGGTAGTTGCAGGAACAATATAGGCTTCCCTGTTCTCCTCTATAGAAGAATATACCTTCAAAGTTGTTGATTTGTCTGCAGCCACACAAAACTACAAACCTGTTTTGACACTTTTCAAAATAGTGAAAGTTTTTCACTTAAATCCCACAGGTAATCATTTGGAATCACAGTGAGCAGATAATGCAGAGTAAATAAAATGTTTAAGTGGCGATATGATAAGATGTGTTTTGATTGTGAAGCACTGGATGGCAATTTTGGGAGAGAAAGAGGAGGCTGGCTTTTCTCTCTCATCTTCTTGATTAGCTGTCTCTGTCAGCCTGAGAATATTCCTGCTCTTAAGTACTCGGTAAATATTCCTGAAGGTGTTTTTAGTTTGCTTGTAACAGTCGCTGGCATGTACGCTGGCTTCTGTGGTGCTGTAAATGCCACTTTCTTTGTTTAAAAGGACAAACTAAACAGGCTCAGCGGAAAAATAATTATACTGCAGATACAGTAAGCTGCTTATGACAGTGATTGACAAAATGAAAGATCAGCACAGCACAATACAAATACTTTGGTGTAGTGTAAGTGCATTATAATGATTTAGACAGCAAATTGTGATTGGAGGTGATTGCACCATGATAAAAATCAAAGTTTTAAAGCCAAAAAAAATCATCAAAGATGGTACTTTTAAAAGCTTGGAAAGGTATTTCAAATTCAGTTTTTCAAGTTTTTTTTTTTTCCTTCCTTTCAAGAAAGAAGAAAAGAATACATTATTGAAGTCATGATGATACACAATTCTTAGCCAAACACAAAATGTCATAAACAAATCAGAATTAACTCATTATTTTCTAAATAAGGGAATATCATGCGACGGTTCGGTTCTGGCAGTGAACCAAATAAGACACACAGCTTTAAGAACTGACTGCAACTAACTGATTCCTTACCTCAAATCCTGTTCAGGAAAATAACAGAAATCCATACACTTTTTGACTAATTGATCCCAGTCTAAACGCTCCCTGGGTTGTAGGCTTGCCAAACATGCACACAGTATATACTCTATTGAATTAAAGGATGCGCCAAAGACTGGAGAGGATTGTTTTTTTTTTTAAAGCTAGGAGGGGAAGAAATATACTAAAATGCGAAGATTTGCATTTTAACAAAAGATTCATTTACGGTAGCAAATCAAATGAAACAGTAATCTCGCTCTCTTTTCTCCCACTCTCCTTTCCCTTCTGTGTGTGTGTGTGTGTGTGTGTGTGTGTGTGTTCGCTTGTAAGCCCCCTCACTGCACGCTTTTTGTGATTCAGTTTGCAGAATTTCACAGAACAGAACACATAATGAACTATATAGTAAGATATATTTAAATGAGGAGTTGATTATAATTTGCTTGTACTTGGCTTTATTGTTGCACGGCTCAGTGAGATGTTGCAGTTGCATGTTCGATAACAGGCTGAGCGCACTCTGCAGGAGAAGGCGGCTATATAGTAATACACTTTTTCCTACGTGGCTCGCTGTGGTGGAATGGGCCCACGCTGGTGCTGGAGCAGTGCAACGTAAACACCTCACGAGAGTGAAATACAGTGACAGGCACTAACAGTTAATGGCTCTGAGCTCGGCAACCGTAGAATACATCTCCACCAAATGATATGATGTACTGTATTCCTGCAGCTCCGTCTCTGGCTCTCATTTTCTCTCCGCTCCGTCTCAGTGTGTCTGTCCCTCTCCTTCTTTCCTGCCACATCTTCCTCGCCTTAAAGAAAACAAAAAAACAACAACAAAGCTCTGTTTCTCTCTCCCCCCTCCCTTTCCCCCCTTTCCCCCCTTCATTATTACATTCTCCTTTTCCCTCTCTCCTACTAACAGGTCTGTCTCTCCCTATCTCTCCACACCTCCATCTCTTTTTCTTACCCGCATCTAGCCGCCTCCCTCATTCGCCCTCTCATTCCATCTCATTCCACCGCTCTCTTTCTCTGTAGCCTGCCGCGCACACAAACACATACCCACAGCCTTGTCACTCAAAACAGGAGGTTTGGCAGTGTATTTGTTTAGGCCAAACACGTAAACACATCCCAGTAATCAATATTTCTTTTCCTGCTACTCTCCTCACATATTTTATGCCACCATCCCAAACAACACTTCGTCCTCTCCTTCTCCCCTTGTCTCCTGCCTCTCTCTCCGGTCAGTCAGTCCATCCTAAGGATTATGCACTGTATTTACAGTACCTTTCTTTTCTAATCATTCCACTGCTCCCTCTACTTTTTCATTCCTCCAGTCACTTGTTCCTCTCCACCCCCCCCCCANCACCCCCCCACCCCCACCACCCTCTCTTCTTTTCTTCGCTGCTTTCTTTTCTACCCAAAAGACTGATCAGGGTCAAGGAATCAGCAGACTGTGACAAAGAGAGGAGAGTCGGATGAAGACAGAGCGAAAAACACAGAGAGGAGGAAAGGCGCAGAAAGGGAGAGTGACTTTAGAGGGAATATTATGTCAGCAGGCCCCTGTTAATCAATGCAATTGTGTTTGGTACCTGAAGCCATGAAAATAGGGAGAAGAGATGGGGGGAATATGAAAAGACGGAGCACGAGAGAGGGAGCGGGGAGAAAGTGAGAGGGAAATAGAGAAAGGGAGGGAGAGCAGTTGGCACCAGAAGTAAATTGAAAATGATGTGCTGTATTTGTGTGTGTGTGTGTGTGTCTGTGTGTCTGTGTGCGTGTGTGTGTGTGGCTAACATATTAACCCTGCTATCTCCCAGGTAGTCATTATCTTTCTGTATGCTTGTTAGTATGAGTATGTGTGTATATGTTTGTAGGTACTGCATTAACCCCCATATCTGTTAATCATTAAAGCTGCTCTACAGGCATAGTGTATCCATGCATATGTCTGTGTGTGAGTGTGCGCGTGTGGATGCGGCTGTGTGAGGGCGAGTGTGTTTACAGTGATCTTAATTGTTGTTATCATTCATGCAGCACAATAACCACCTCCGCCCCCATCTTTGTCTCTGTCTGCTATTAACTCTCTCTCCCTCTCACCCTCCTTCTTTCTAACGGCCGGTTTCTATTTTTCCTCATATTGTTCCTTCTCAGCCTGCAGCCTGAATAGCACCCATTTCATCTTCTCTCTGTCTTGCTTTCTTTTCCTTCNCCCCCCACACACACACACACACACACACACACACCCCGTATTCCTGGTCCAGTATTTCCTTCAGCCAAAGCTAACTTTTATTACCCCATGGCTAGATTCAGAACTCATTTCTCTGTCTTGCCTGTGCGCAATCTCTGATCATTTTCTGTCTTCAGCTCTTTCTCCTTTTCGTTCTCTTCTTTTGTCTTTCTTGCTCCCTCCTTCCTCTGTTCTCCTTCTTTTTCTCACTTGATTTGATGTCCTCTGTACTGGACACTAAAAAAAAAAAAAAAAACACACACACACATCAGAGTCTAACTTAATCTCTTCTTCTCTTGCTTCTTCTTCACCTTCTTCTTCTCCTCTTTGCTGTCTCTCTTTCTTTCAGGCACCCTCTCTTAGTGCGATATATATCTGCCTCCCCCCCCCTCGGCAGGTTGCCATGGTCGCCATACCTACTCTCTCTCTCCTATTGGTCCTGGCAGAGTGGGCAGGTCTGGTGGACGCCTCCCCCCACCTCCTGCTCCGGCCCAGCCCGCGGGAGCGTGATGCAGGGGCCATGATGAACTTCAACATCGCCGTGATCCACGCCGGTGCTACGGTGCAGGCAGAGGCGGCGGTGGCGGGGCCTGGGGGAAGGGTGCTCTACCCTGGCTTCGGCCGGGTATACGGCTCCCTGGGGGAGAGCGTGGTCACCCAGTGGGGCTCTGCTAACGTCATCTGGCTACAGGTTGGACACTGTCTCCTCTACCTACTGCTCATTCAGCCTAACTTGAAGGCAGGGAATAACAATGACCATCCATTATTCATACTCACTCTCATTATTGGAGCTGAATGGGCAGCACGCTGCCGCTGTTGTGTGGGCTCCGCTGAATGAGTGGGAGTCTGGCTCGGCCGACCACAGCTTGTATTGCTTGCCAGACATGTCATGCATACTACAGACACCTTCCATATGAATAACACAAAGTCAAGACATACTGCCCTATTTGCTCTACTCTGTTCGTCCCTCTGTCTTTATCCATCTCTATTTGTTTTTCTCTCTTTCTTCATTCTTCTATCATGTCCCAGGTGAATGACAGTAGTCCTAAGACGGTCCTGTCCCAGCTGTGTGAGCTGCTGGCGGCGCGGCCCCTCCAGGGTCTGGTTTATGAAGAGGAGAGGCCCCCTCGCACAGCCTGGGGTCCTTTGGCCCCCATGCTGGAGTTTGTCTCTGCGCAAACAGGACTGCCCATAGTGGCTGTAGGAGGGGGAGCGGGGCTGGGGAGGATGCCACAGGTAGGAGGGGGGGGGTCGGGATTGGGGTGGGAGAGTGAAGAGGAGGTGTTTGCATCTTATGTGTGTGTGTGTGTGTGTGTGTGTGTGTGTGTGTGTGTGTGTGTGTGTGTGTGTGTGTGTGAAAGAGAGAGAGAGATAGAGATGAGGACATGATTGTGTAGCTCCAAATGTGAGGACTGGTGAGTGGGATAATTTTAATTAGGTGTGTGCTGTATACTGAAGCAGTATGGATTGACAGCACTATGAATGGAGTATAAAAGGTGAGCTGCTTATATTGCCATAACACCTTACAATGTCACCATGTCGCACATCCTCTCTGTGAAGAAAAGGTTTGGGGAAGTGCCGGTGGGACGGAGGGGATTTTGAAGGTCAGGGTCACTGATCTGCTGAAACTCTGCACTGTTTGATCTGTAAATGGCACCAACTGGGGCTGTTGCTCTGCCTCTGATGTTCCTGGGAGGGAGGCAATGAGCAGACATGGGTGTGTGTATGAGTGAGTAAGGGCATGTTTGTGTGTGTGTGTGTGTGTGTGTGTGTGTGTGTGTGCGCACTGTACATTTGTGTACAAGTGTTTAAGCATCAGAGAAAAGTAGCGCCACATGCTTTTCACCAGCAAACGGGGGAAAAAAAGAAACAAAAAGCATTGCATTTGTGCTTACAAATAACTGTTTTAACCATTTACTCTTGAGGAATTAAATTGTAGCACTTTGATGAACTTCCTTTGAAGATGTACCCTCGCCTAGTCCTCATCCCCTCCCATCCTCTGAACAGACTTTTTAGAAACACTCCCTTTTGGACGTCATAGGAGAATTTGTGCAACAATCCAAGCTGCTTTAGCCCTGCAGCTGCACGAGTGCTGCTGCTCCGCAAAAACTTCAAGCCCCGTGATGCCTCAATGTTGTGCATAAAGACGGAGCAGTCCAGAGAGTTGTAGTTTTTTGTGGAGAAAGTGCTGTCTATTACTTACACACTGTATTGTAGCTGCAGTTTAGACTCAGCACAACTGCAGAGGATGAATTTCACAGTTAAGATTTTTAACCAAATCTGCTGCTCTCTCCCCCAAATCAGGAATCAGGTTCCATCTTTCTCCAGTTCAGCTCCTCTACTGCCCTCCAGTTAGAGGTCATCTTTGAGGTGCTGGAGGAGTATGACTGGACCGCCTTTTCCGTGGTGTCCACGCGTCACCATGGCTACCAGGATTTCCTGTCGGTGGTGGAGGGCCTGACGGACGGCTCGTTCATCGGCTGGGAGAAGAAGAGTGTGGTGATCCTGAACGTGACCGACGACCCTGGGGGGGCACGCACGCGCAGGCTGCTGAAGGAGAACGAGGCGCAGGTGAGACAGGGGGGAGGGAGGGGGGAAAGGGGGGAGGAAAGGGGAGGAAGTGCTGCGAGTATCATTGGGGGCCCCCTTCCTGACAGGTGGCTTCCCAGCTTTTTCCTTCCTTCTTCGTCTCTCCCTCACCCCCTCCGCATCTCTCTCTCCCCTCTCTCCTCTATCCCTCTGTTCTTCTCTTCCCCTCCCACCTCCCAAGGCATAAAGAGTTCAGCGGTACAAGAAACCACGAGTCAATCTGATCTGCTGGCTGGTTGTCATGTGGCTTTGTATGAAGAGTTACGGAGTGCAAAGTGCTAAACAAGTTGAAGCACTTAAGACACCGTTTTCCCTTAAGTAGCTTTGAGGTTAGAAAAAACATCCTAATCCACACTGTCTGACAATATAACATACATTATATATTCTGTGTCAGCTTGTTCCGGCTCTTCACTGTGGACGCTTTACATGACGTTTACACCCGGTGAACTATTTACTATTTAACGTTCTTGATGTCTTGCGTGTTAATTTGTGCATATTTTACACAATACCCCCCCAACACAACATGATCTGTGGGTTTGAAAAATGTCTGGCGGCACAGCAAGAGTTTGTAATGTGTCACCCACCGGCGGGCGGCTGCAAGGACACGATGATGGTTTGCACCTCTGGAGACTTTTAACCAAACCGCCTTTTCTAATTCATGTTTCCATTTTGAGACAAACAAAGCTTTATTCCCAGTCCCCTAATCACCCTCTGTCTTTTCTGAACTTTAATTTAACTTCAGTTTAGTTACTTTCTCTCTATATATCTACAGCACATACAGAGTATATAGAGAAAGACGCTCACCCCATTATTTCATTAACCTTGACCAGAATGACTCGTGGTTTTGGTTTGTACCTCTGCTGTGTTTCACTCCTTCATACTGTATGCCTGCTCCCTCTCCCTCTCCTACCCCACGGGCTCGCTCGTTCTTCCCTTTCTTCTTTCAAACTTCCACTTCCCTTGCTCTCGCCTGTCACTCTCAACATGCTGTTTCCATCCACTCTCATTTCTTTATCTTTTTTTTTTTTTTACCCTGTCATCCTTCCTTAAACCACCTCTTTGACCCCACCATCCTCCTGTATAATTTTTCGGTCATCTCTGTTTTCTTGTGCTCAGTCCACTCCCCTCCTCCTCCCCCCCTCTGCCTTCCCTCCTCCTGCGTTTCTTTGCCTGGAGACAAGCTCACTCTCCTCTGCTGCTTTGCTTTTCACCTCCATCTCTGTGTGGCTATCTTTCATTCCTTCAGTCCATTTGTCCGTCCCTCTTGCTGCATGTCTTCCTGGCCACAGTCTCTGCCCTCCGCTGGCTCAGTTTAGTCTGGGTCTCAATGTCATCGCTAATGTCCCAGCATGGCCACTGCAGCTCTGTGTGTGTGTGTGTGTGTGTGTGTGTGTGTGTGTGTGTGTGTGTGTGTGTGTGTGTGTGTGTGTGTGTGTGTGTGTGTGTGTGTGTGTGTGTGTGTGTTTGTGTCTGTAAGTGTGTACATGTGTATTAGATTCCTTAGACTCCACTCTGCTAGTGTCACTGTTAATATAACATAGTGCCTGCAGCGGGTTGCCTATACGCAGTGCTTGCTTTTTTAACCCTCTTGCTTTTCACAACAACCCCCTCTTCTTATAGCTTTTTCTCTACCGCAGGACTAATAAATGCTTGTGATTGCTTAGTGATGCCGTGTATGTTTGCATTACATGCTCTCTCTCTCTCTCTCTCTCTCTCTCTGCCACATGGTAATTTCTTCTATACTGTAGATGGCCTGATGCTGGCGTCTGGGTCAATTTCTACTCAAATCTCTCACTGCCTATCTCTTGTTCCATTCCTCTTCCAGCTTCTGCCTTGTCAGTATTTCTTTTGCTCTCTCTCTCTCTCTCTCTCTCTCTCTCTCTCTCTCTCTCTCTCTCTCTCTCTCTCTCTCTTTCTCTCCGTTGTTTGTGTGTCTCTCTCTCTCTCTCTCTCTCTCTTTCTCTCCGTTGTTTGTGTCTCTCTCTCTCCATTTCCCGTCTTTAGATATTGTGTGTGTCTGTTTATAACTCTGATTCTCTCCTTCCCTCCTTAATTCAGTCTCCCTCTCTGTCTGTGGCCCTCTTTCTCCCTCCTTCCTCCTCCTCCTTCCTCCTCCTCCTCCTGTCACTCTCATTCCCTGCCTAATTCACTGGAGGTTTATTGGCATACAGGCAGGATTGTTTTGCCAAGCCATTACAGTTCAAAATTCAATGAAGGCGCAATTCTCAAAATGTGCTTTCAGTCTGTCCCCCCCAACCACCACCACCACCACCACCACCACCTCTTCCTTCATGAAAGAGCCATCTTCCTCTTTTTTGTCCTTCGATTCCCCTTTGTCTCGTTTCCTCGCTCCTAATTTTTTAAATGTATTTCTTTTATTTTAAACACTTTCTTTCTTCTTGGGTATTTGTCAGCATTTAACCTCACCCCCGCTTGTTTCTATCTTTTCTCTCAGCTCAGCTCAGCTCCATCTTCTTCTTGTCGATCCCTTCCTTCTCTCTCCATTTCCCCTCTAACCCCTTAAAACCCTCTTTGGTCAATTTCTAACTTCCCCCTCCTCACCCATCCTTACCTCAGCACTTGCAGCAGAGAGAGCTCTTCCACTGTCCCTGCTCTGTCTTTCTATCCTGCCTTCCTCTCTCTTTAATGTTTTTTTTTCTCTGTTTCTCCCTAGCCTCACTCCATCATCTGCACCCTTCTTTCACAAATATCTCTTTTCTCTCCAGGCCCACGATTTCACCAAAATATGTCATCCTTTGCTCTTCTTTGCTATCCCCCCCCCTCCTCCTCCTTTCCGTTCTCTAAGGAGTGACTATTCTGTTTTCCCATCTCTGATTACTTCCCTCCATCCCCTCGTTCTGCCCCCCTCCGTCTCCTGTTGTCTCCAGGTCTTTTCTCCACCCTGCTTTTAATAACATATGTCAGAGTTTAACCTCTTCCCCTTTGTTTTCCCTCAGGTGTGTTTGGTCTTTAACCGGCCCCTCCCTCCCATGCTTCCCTGCCTCTCCCTCTCTGTTTCTCTGCTCTGCCGCTTACAGTTGTTTCCTCTTCCCTTTCTTGTTTTACTCCTGTTTTCATTATTCATAATTGTAACTTGTTTCATCAGGCCCAAGTTCATTAACCACTGACCCCCATTGCCTCCTGAACCTCCTGGTTAGCACATATCACATGCGGCCATGCAGTCTTTCCCCCCTTTCTGGTGTGTCTGCTTCTCTCTCTGAATCATACGCCTGACTCCCATGCACCTTATCACATCAGCTTACAGCTACTGTATCTCTCCTCTTACCTCTCCCAGCATCCTTGTTTTTTTTTCTTGATATGGCCTTTTCTATCCGACTCCCTCCCTCCCCTCCCCTCCCGCTCAGGTGCACCTCTTCTCCAGCTCTATCTTTCTCCCCTTACTTCTCCCACCCTCTGTCTCTCTCCATGTCTCCCCTGTCCCCTCCTTATCTCACTAGCGTGTATGTGTGTGTGTGTCTCCCCTCGTCCCTGTTCCCTCCCTGCCTTCCTACTGTCCTCCAGGTACGCTTGCTGTACTGCTCCCAGGAAGAGGCTGAGCTGGTCTTCCGAGCCGCCTGGGCTGCCGGTCAGGCCGGAGCCTCGCACATGTGGTTTGCTGTGGGGCCAGCTCTCTCAGGTTTGGGCATGGAGAGCCTGCCCCGGGCTCTGTTTGCCGTGCGGCCCCAGGGCTGGAGGGACGAACCTCGCCGGAGGATCGCTCGGGGTGTGTCTGTGCTGACTCACGGGGCAGTGGCGATGCGCAAAGATTACGGAACCACGGGTGGGCCCAACTTTGTCACCAACTGCATGACGGATGCTAATCAGACCCAGAGACTGCGGGGCAGGATGAGGTGAGACGGAGATAAGGGCAAAGAGAAAAACTTTAAAGGGGGAATGTGAGGAGGGAAGGAAGAGAAATGTTGGGTTTGGGGGTAAGTACAAGGCAGTTGGCAGGCTCCAGACAGAATATGTGAAAAAAGGAATAAAAAGAAATAGAGACGGGATAAGGTGTATTCTACGAAACGAGTTGGTTCGGTGCCAGAATGAGCTGGAAGGTATATGGGTGGAGTTGGTAGATTCAGTGTCAGAGAGCAGGCACAGAGGGGATATCTGAATTTGGAGCTGGCTATCATCCATGCAAAATAGATGTTGTTGGTGCGTGTAGTTGTGAGTTGGCGAAATTACCCCAGCATCTGTAGCAAGCGGACCATGTCTCATGTATATTAATGAGCACGCTTTAATATATTCCTCGTAGGCTGTGCAAACAGACAGCAGCACACTCTAACAGGTAGCTCAAGTGGTTCTGGTTCTCATCTTGGTTCATTTTTAGTGCCAGTCATTTCTGCTCTACATAAACACTTCACACATGATATTGTATAGAGTGACTGCTGGAAGTTTGGTCAGCGTGAAAATGAGCCAAACATGTAATTAATTAGTTTATTTGCACTCATTTTGGTAAATGAAGCAGAGCACAAACAATGTGGCAACTAAAGGGAAATGATTAATGGATTCTTCTGTCTTTGTTTATAAACTACTGTATGTCCGAGAACAGAGGAGGACGATGTGCTCATTTCCATTTTTTTTGCACTGCTACCTGCTGTTCACTGTCTGTAACTGCAAGCTGTTGTTCCATCTGAGGCTTTCTGTCATGTAAAAAAAAAAAAAACCTTTCAGATTTTGTGTTTTGAAGCCAGAGAGATGAGACATGAGGAGACAATTAGAAGGTCTGTCCTGTGTGATTATCAGACAAACTATAGAGCTTGCAGCTGATGCAGAGAGCAGCAGTTGTTTGACTTCAAAGACCCTGACACTTCTGCACGTCTGATCAATTGTCTGTAGATTTGATAAATAGACAAGCCCTGACTGTCACCATAGAGGTGCTGTGATTTAGTTTCAAGAGGGGAGAGAACGGGGCACGCTTTCTGTTGCATCAAAACCAGCTTTAGGATCTATTTTTTCCTCATCCTCTCCAAGAACGCAATTAGTTCATTTGATAATATTATGTGTTTACTGCCATTTACTTATTTTCTTCCTTCTCCTTTTGTCTCCACCCATCCTCCAGGTATTTCAGCAACATCACACTTGGTGGTCGAGACTACTCCTTCAATAGTGATGGTTACCTGGCGAACCCCTTCCTGGATGTAATTTCCTGGACACCTGGACGTGGATGGGAAGATGTAAGGACATGACATGAGTTCTTTATGTCTAACCATGTGCTCCGAGTGTCACGATCCTCTTGATTTGCACTGTGTATTATTTTGTTGTTTCCATAAACTGTTTTAATCTTGAGATTCTGTAATTTTGCCCTCTGTGAACAAGTTCAAGGACAAACGCTTCAAGCAACTGAACCCGACACTGGTTTTGTGCTGATTCGAGCACATTGTTCTTGAGCCTTAATCTCTCCACGTGAGGTGGAGAAGCAGATCCGTGCTGCATCGGCATCTGAAATAAGGATATTTAAATCTGACAGCGAGGATAGGCAGGTCACATGGGTTTGTGATCATGTAAAGTTCACTATGGCTATCGGTGCCTGAGGCAGAGGAGAGAAGCTGGCTGCTGACCATTTGACCGCGCATTGTGTGCTCTTACTGTGCTTGCTCACTTTCTGCTGTTTCTCTGCTGTTTCCTGGTTGAGGCGCACTCAAGCACACAATACCATAATACCACAAATGCAAGAATACACACTCACATATGTGGCGCTGAAATAAGTAGTGAATTGACCGATATCTAATAATCCAAATTTTGACAACTGATTAATTGTTTAAATCAAACAAAAATGACATTATTCAAAATTCTCATTGGAGGTCTTTCAAAACAAGCAGTGTGCCCATCACCAAGGGCTCTGGGACACTGGGATGGATCAATAAATCAATTTTAAAAAATCATCAGAAGATTATAGGATAGTTTCACATGTTTTCAAGTGTAACCTCGAAAATGAAGGACAAAATCCGGAGCGAGCTAGATGTGAAGCTGAAGCAGTCTGAGTTCTCCAACTCAAGTGGGTTTGTTCTAAAGTAAAAACCTTTTTAGTACAAAATTCCCTCTTTGTGTTTCCCTCGGCAGTGTTTCCCTTGCTGAGATGCAGCAGAGGGATAGTAACACAAAGAGCAACAATAACCCACTTGATTTCACTAAGTCGGACTGTTCAATCTTCACATGAGCTTCGACTGAATTTTGGATTGTATTTCTCCACAGAACGAGGACTGTGGATTTTGTCCCCTATCTCTGATTGGAGTCGCACTAGAAAGAGATCACCTAATGGCCAGCAATCAATAATGAAAGTAATCGTTAGTTGCAGCCCTGCACTGTTACACATAGAACACAATGTTCTGGTGTTGTTCTGATCAACAGTTGCTTATTTTCTGCCTGTGTTCTTAGGTCTGTGCTGTAAAATTAAATACAGATTTAAATAGTGATGAAGATTTCTGGGTGTCATCACCATCTGGCTGTAGACTCGCCATTGTTTCGTGTGTTCGAGTGTCTTGTCTACATAACTGTATGCGCAGCTATCAAGCACCAGTACCCCTGGCATGTCATGCATATTCTATAAAGCTGTGGTTTGTTCAGAAATCCTTAATACGAAGCCTTGTCACCTGTTGGAGATGTTTTCCCTTTAATACGCCGGGATTTTACCCTTGTCAGTGTCAGTAGAGAGCGCGATGCTCATTTTCTCAACCACACACCAGCGCCTCAACACCACACGGTACATGCATAAAGACACACAGCACTCTCAGAACATACACTCCGCAACTGCACATTAACACAAACACAGCACAAATACAAATACAAATACCGATGCTTCCGCACAAGCCTACACACACATACACACACACGCACACACAGGCACACACAAGCACACACAAGCACACACAAGCACACACAAGCACACACAAGCACACACAAGCACAATATACACATTGGTGGTTCTCAGCCTCCTGCTGGTTTTAACAGCTCACCAGAGTCCAGTCACAGCGTGTTGTAACATGCTGACTCCTGCCATATCCCTCAAATCCCTTTCAATTAGAAGCTCCTGCGCTGGTCCTTCGACTCTGCGCAAACCCAGGGTACGAAACCCGCCTACATACATACGCACCCTCACTCACACTCATGCACACACACGCACACACACACACACACACACACACACACACGCACACACACACACATACACTTACTTAGAGCTTCCGCACAAACATCCATATGTGTGTACACACTTCTTGCATAAACCTTATTGCGCACGCACGCACGCACGCACACACACACACACACACACACACACACAATGAGGATAAGACGCCTGTATCTGCCTATTATGCACATCCACGCTGTTGGCTCTCCCTGAATATTTAATGTTCTCTTTACAAGACTGCACCATTACCTAGAGCCCGCGAGCACCCAGCTTAGCTTACTGAAACACTGCAGACTAGTACTGAAGGTTGGCCAGCATTCGCATGGCTTGCTTCAGCTGTGGAGGTAGCACACAGAGATAGATGTTCCAGGATATTAACAGAAGTTAATGAACATTTATAAACTCCTCTCACAGCTGCTGAGGGATAAGCTTTTAGGTTAAAGTGGTTCCCAGTTCTTAAACTTTTGCTCCAAACCAGAATACTTTCCATGTCTTAAAATATACCAGCATTTCGAAAAGTGGGAGTGGGAGTCTTTGGCTGCTCTCTTTCTGACGTTTGTGTGTTTGCTTTCCTGGGTATCCGTCTGATGGGGAGTAGAATGTTCTCCCATAAGCTCTATCTGTTTCCTGTCTGTGTTCCCTGAGTGTGTTTTGATTGAATGTCTGTTGCGGAGCTGCGGTCGAAGTGCAGTCAAAACACTGTCATTGTTGCCACCTCCTCCCCCTCTCTCTGCCATCGCTTGCATTACACAGACAGGCAGGCGGGCTGCACGAAGCTGCCATAGTATACTCTACTCGCATGCTTAAGCACTCGCGTTGTTATGTGTTTTTTTTATGTGTGTGTTTACTGTATACCTTCATGTATTTCTGTATGGGCGCGCATGAGTATGCAGTTTGTATGCACACTTTCTTTTTGTGTATATCACCTCAGTTGTCTCGCTTGTCTTGACTTTTATCAGGTGATATGCCAGGTTTCAAGAAAAGAAAAGAGACTGAATCTTCCTGGGTGTGGTTCTGTCTTGTGCTGCTTTCAAAGGTCTGAATATCCCAGGCACAAGCATATAACGCATCCAGAGTGCATATAAACAATGCAAAGAAGCAGGGAAAACAATGACACAGCCAAAGGAATGCTTGACAGACATTTTCAGGTCAACACTGGACACAGAACAATGTGGTCTCACAGCATCATCCAAGAGCAGATTTAAAAAAAAAAAAAAAAAAAAATCATACTGAAATAACACCCGCAGCATTGTGTCTATCCTCTGCACGCGTGTTTTCAATATGTAAACGCCTCTCAAAATGCATTTTGACCAGAGCTCAAAATTCTTAAATGAAACCATAACTTAGGTTCCAGGCGATCCGGTGGCTTAGAGCTACTGCTTGGCCCCGAAAAACCCCCATAGCCACCGCTCCCTCACTGAAGACTATTCCTTGTATGAATCTGTGAGTTCGTTGCCTTCATCCTACTCAAAGCCATTATATGTAAATTATTATTATTTTGTCCAAGGTCTGTTTTGACACTAAAGTAAATGACTTGTACAAACATATCTGGATAACCACTGTAGCCCCATCAATCAGTGTAGCCTTTGCACATGCACAAATTTGTCAGGTAATTGCTCCTGTCCCACATAACAACGAATATTAAGGCTTGGTGTTCTAAGATGGAGTGAGGGGGAACAATATCCTGTATAATACCTGTACAATACAGTCAAAACCGGTTCCATGACCCTGCGGGTAATACTACTTTTATGAAGCGTATGATATTCTGTTTTTTATTGAAACTGCCAGAGAGATGCTCATTCATCTCTGTAGTCACAATCTAATACTAATACAGTCTAAATATGAAACTGAATGAGTTTAATGAACATCCCCCTGAAACAGCTGTTGATTGGATTCATTGGAACTGAATTGAATTACATTGTATTGCTGTTCATGCTATTGTGTCTACCCTCTCCATATGTGATGACACGTAAATGTATAGGGCTGTGTTTATTTTGATAACGTTTTACCTTGATTTGATCTGATTAGAAAATTAAAAAAAATTAAGAAACATTACAAAACACATCTATCCAGATATAAACAAAACAACAACAACAACAAAATAACAAAAAACAGTACAGATGCTATCCAACTCCTCCCCTGGATAAAAACTTTAGGCTAAAACAAACCGTTGTCACATACAAACTGAAACACAGTAGAAACACTAACTGTGAATATAATGTATTTATATATTTTATTTATATTTCCGTAGTGGTCCTGCCTGCAACAAATCTTGATAACAATAAGAATAGTTTAACTCACAATACAATACAAACCTAAGAAGTAGTTCAGTAGTGCTGTAGAGATGACCCTGTTTTGTTTATCATCATAAACAAAGCTAGTATCCATTCAAATACAAAACAACACAAAGCCAAACAAAATAAAAAATACAGTGTGTGGTTGAAATGCGTGCATCTGTGCACTCCACCTTTCTCTAATGTTTCTCTTGCCTGTTCCTCCAGGTAGGCTGGTGGGAGAACGGCGTGCTGAGGCTCCGGTACCCAGCCTGGTCCCGCTACGGGCCTTTCCTTAAACCACCTGATGATGCCCAGCACCTGCGCGTTGTCACGCTGGAGGAAAGGCCGTTTGTCATTGTGGAGCTGGCAGACCCCGCATCCGGAACCTGCATCCGTGACTCAGTGCCCTGCAGACGACCCCTTAATGCCAGGTTTGAATCCTCTGGAAATCCTCAGAAAATTTTCAAAAATAATTAAAAGTAGTTTTAGGTCGATGTGTGTGTGTTTTATTATGTATGTAATGTTACTGTCTTTTTCCATATGACAATTTTTAATGCAAAATTAAAATTTCCAAAAGTGGAACTGTAGGGAAATAACAATAAGAAAAGTAGCAGCCGTTCTACTATACTTACCGGTTTTATGAATGGAGTTCCAAACCTCTCATGATGCCGTCCAATCGAGGGGGCATCAATCACCTATCAAAACTGTGGTCTCTTCACTGCCTGACCATAATCAATAACAGACTGCTCTCCAGAGGATCAGCGGAATGACTCAGGGGTTTGGAATCAGATATGACCACAGTGGAGCTTTATGGTTCATCAGCTCCTGGAGGGATGACAGCACCTATCCTACACTGGTCGATCAAACCTGTCACTAAGGGCTTGGCCACAATATTCCTTCTCAATGACCGTTTCCTTCTGTTTTCTTTTCCTTTTCTTTCCCCTCTTTCCCTTGCTCAGCTGTCCTTAAGCTTTCCTTTTCATTCCTTTCCTTTGTAATTTCTTTTGTAACTCATCCAGTGTAGGAATGCACCATTACATCTCAATGAAGATACAGTTTTTAACACATTTTGTTTGACACGTGCCTCATTTTTTACTAATTTTATTCTTCTTTTTGACTCTTGCCCAGTGCCATCCATGAGGGCGTCGCTCCCATGAAGCAGTGCTGCAAAGGCTTCTGCATTGACATCCTCAAGAGACTGGCCAGGATTGTTGGCTTCACCTATGACCTTTACTTAGTGACCAATGGGAAACATGGGAAGAAAATTGATGGGGTTTGGAACGGCATGATTGGAGAGGCAAGTCATTGTTTATGTGTGTGTGTGTGTGTGTGTGTGTGTGTGTGTGTGTGTGTGTGTGTGTGTGTGTGGGCGCCTTTGGTTCTGCTTGTCTGCCTTTTTGAGCAATGTGGTCTCATTGTCGGCTTTGTGTCACTTTCGTATGCGTGAAAGGTGTGTGTGTGTGTGTGTGTGTGTGTGTGTGTGTGTGTGTGTGTGTGTGTGTGTGGGTTTATATTTATGCCTCATATTTTGGGTTGCATATTCAGTCAGCACGTCACATAGTAGCATTCCTCAGCCTGTGCTTCTATGTCCTGGGTGACCGGTTAAACGTTATGTGTCACATCAATCGCTGTGAGAGTTATGGCCACTTAACCACTGCCAGCAATCAGACAGCTGTCATTTATTACACACACACACACACACACACACACACACACACACACACACACACGTGTGTTCAGAGACAAACATACTCTCTAATAGAGGGCAAAAAAACACAGTTACACAAATTAGCATGATGGCTAACCCATGTGGTGAACACAATGAATACAGGGTCTTTATCTGCAGAGACACGTCTCTGTACACATTAACACTTACAATCACAAAGACACACACACACACACACACACACACACACACACACACACACACACACACACACACACACATTGACAGACACCCCCTGGCTAGTTGCGATTAGTCCTTGATATTTTCTTGGCAATACTCACTGAGGTTCATGATCTCCCATCAAGAAAAGACACAAAGATGCTGGCAGAAAAATAAGAAAAACAAGCACACACTAGCAGACAAGCAGCACACACATGCTCGCACACATACTGCGATCGATATGGGGGCTGCTGTTTCATTGAAGCGCCCCACTGTTTCTATCTTTGTCCCGGAGGGAACTTGCCAAACACTGGTTGTCACGGGTTCCAAAACAGTTTCACTGCGCTCTCCTGCTCAATCATTTATAACTTGAGCCTGGGCCAAAGCTGTCTGTGGGATCTATTTTCACATGCAAAAGGCCAAGTGAATGTTGTTTTCTCAAACTAATGTCAGTCTTTTGATCAGATGTTCCAAAGCCTGCCATTCTTTGATCAGGTAATCCAGAGACTTGGCAAAGTTGAGAGGAGGGTGCTTTGCTTTCCGCTTCGCTTCATTTTTCTGCTGATTTGCTCTGAAGAGTGGATGTGCCATGTCTAATGTAGATTAACATTTCACTTGTACAATCAGCAGACGCAGCAGTTTTTTTGGTTTTTGTAGATGGTGGCGTGGAGGAGACGGGCTCGAGCTCATTTTGTATGCTAAAGAGATGCACAAGAGACAAGTGCTCAGTGTTTGTGCCGGACTATATCCTCGGCCTTTCTCATGTAGGCACATCAGAGGGTGTACGAAGGGCCAGGGTGCAAAAATGTCTCTCTCTCACCTGGACACATACCTTTGTTAACTGTAAAAGACTTGACTATGTCTATTTATAACCGCCACAGGAATTACCCATAACTAGATTTCTCCCTCACTGCTGGTTCTTGTCTCCTTTAGGTGGTGTACAAGCGAGCGGACATGGCCATTGGCTCGCTGACTATCAATGAGGAGAGGTCAGAGGTTGTGGATTTCTCTGTCCCTTTCGTGGAGACGGGGATAAGTGTCATGGTCTCCCGTAGCAACGGAACTGTATCACCATCTGCTTTCTTAGGTAAGAGGCTCTGTTTATGGGAGGCGTCAAGCTGATGTAAAGAGTCTAATCTAATTGTAAAGTGTTGAGTTTGCATAAAACGCCTCGGTCTTTGGCTGCTGGTCCTTACATTTAGATTAGCCGTTCCTTTTTCTCAGCTGCCTGTGTCTTCCCAACTTATAGTTTCACTCCGTCAGCAGACTCAAGACTCCAGCGGGAGAACACTGTTATTGGCCTATAGACTGCATTGAGATGATTGTAAAAAAAGAGAAACAGTGTTTATGGACTTCTGAGAATATGTTTGCTCCAATGGTTGTTATTTTCACTGCATATATATATATGTACTTATATATATATACACTGTATATAGGACATAATGTGCCAGCTTTATGAAACTTGCTTGTCCCTTCTATTGGTAAGAATAATACAACTACAAATTCTGAATATATTAAAAATGCTATACAAAACTACTTAATATGCCCTTATGTTTCATAATTATTTAAGTCTTTTTTTGTTTTCCTTTTAAAGAGCCCTACAGTCCAGCGGTGTGGGTGATGATGTTCGTCATGTGCCTGACCGTGGTGGCTGTGACCGTCTTTATTTTTGAGTTCTTCAGCCCTGTGGGCTACAACCGCAGTCTCCAGAATGGCAAGAGTGAGTGATGGGTCTAAGCTGTCTGCATTTCCCAGCCTGATAGATGGGTCTGCGCGCAGTCCGTCACTGTTGCTACACGGATCGAATGGACAAACACTTGAACACACTCCTGGAATGTGGTTGGAAAAAATTTTAAGTGCAAAAATGTTTTTTTTTTTAAGTGTGGTAGGGAACTTTTTTGTTTCAGTTCAGTTTGTTTCCCGACTGTCCGACTGGTCAGTTGTCACATTCAGAATGAACCGATGGACATTTTGAATGTGCTGCCTTGAGCTCTTAACTGTGAGTGTGGCAAAGAGGAAATTATACCTACAGCATAGTATTTGAACTGCATCCAAGTGTTCTCCATATTGAAGCAGCCATTTATTATTCAACAGTATAGTTTGTACCCCTGTGATATTCAGTATGCCTGATGCTTCGGTCCAATACCCAGCCTGACTCGCCTCTTTTACTGCATGATTGCTGTGCTCTACATAATTTTACCTCTCTGTCATCCTCCCATATATCCCTCTCATTCGCTCTCACCTCTCTCCTTCCTTCCTCCTTTACTGCTGTCGTATAAAGGCAGGAGTGTTTGACACCTTTGAATGGTGATTTGCAACATGCGGTTTAATCATTTGTAAGATCACGAAACAGCTGAATTGATCCTTGAAACGTAAAGTCACCGCCTTATGAGCTTTGGTGTCAAGAAGCCTGCCAGGTATTTTTCGTATACAGTAAACTCATTTTACAGCACATTCAGGGAGGTTTAATTTGAATCTGCTGCTTCATCTGCAGTCAGGTGCTGCTGAATACTCAATTGTGCCATGTACTGGCTGGATTGCAAGTCTAGAAAAAAATTAATGTTACAACCATTACGCTCATAAGTCTCTCTTTATTTCCCACTCTCTTTTCCTCCCTCCGTCACTCTGGGCAGAGGCTGGAGGGTCTACTTTCACAATAGGAAAGTCTGTATGGCTTCTGTGGGCCATTGTCTTCAACAACTCTGTGCCAGTGGAGAACCCCAGAGGAACCACCAGCAAGATCATGGTGCTGATCTGGGCCTTCTTTGCTGTCATCTTTCTGGCCTCCTACACTGCTAACCTGGCTGCCTTCATGATCCAGGAGGAGTACATTGACACAGTGTCAGGCCTCTCGGACAAGAAGGTACTTCATTGCTTGAATACTGATTAAGTAGGGAAAGCAGAAGGAGAATTAAAGTATTAGAGTGAGCCAAATCCCGTGCATTTGAATGTTAAATTGATTAAAGAACAGGAATTTAGGAATGAATAAAATCTCATTTAACATAACTCAATTACCACAGTTATTGAACACTTAAAAGACAGTTCTAAATACTACTTTAAGACCACGGACTGCTCTCTTTTCAAAGATTTGACTGTGCATGGAGTGTTGTAAGTTAGTCTGGAAAGTGGACAGAAATAGGTCAGACAGATTGGTGCACAGCCTGGTGTGTCTCATGCCCCTTCCCCTTCCCTCCCTTCCCTCCCCCCCCTCGCCTCCCTTTGCTCCGCTAGTTTCAGCATCCCGAGGAGCAGTACCCACCTCTGAAGTTTGGCACGGTGCCCAACGGGAGCACAGAAAAAAACATCCGCTCCAACTACCCAGACATGCACCAGTACATGGGCAAATACAACCAGAAAGGAGTGGAGGACGCCATACTCAATCTCAAGACTGGGTCTGTTTACCTTTCACTATTTTTTGCTTTTTTATTTTCTAGTTGCTCAGTTTCCATTTAAGCACTTTAAAATTGTTCAAACTTCCCTCAGGCAAATGTATAAATGTCTATATTGCTGTTTGCTTGAGACATAAAATCATTTTGCCTATACAACACTGCACAACAAGAACCTAGATTCCCACATAACAAATGAGTGAATACAGATCCCCAAGTTTAAAAAGAAACATTTGAAAAGACTACATTTACATAACAAAATTGAAGGGTACACGATACTCTCTTTGCAGCAATCCTTTTTTGATAAACCTCACCAGAACAAGAATCTCTTCATTAAAAGGCCAAGTCAACATGTTGCCTTTAGACAAAATCAAAAACAAATCAGGATTCTTTTAATGATTTATTTTCAGATAGTGGAGGTCGCTGCAAGAGCTAAACCAAAATAGAAGCGATGAAATTACATTTGTCAAAAGAAAAAAAACAAAAATGGTGGAACAGATCTGTCATGACTGGACTTAATGATTTAAATAACAATTTAGGAATGACAGTGGCTACTGATAATAGTAAGGATAATAAGGTTCCCGCAGCTGTAAAGTGCACAAATTCATTGTTATGTCACAAAACAGTCAGAGGGTGAATTGACAGAACTTTTGAATTTTCTCTTCACATGAAACATGGCCGCATTAAACTGGTACTAAAAGCTCCTCTACTCGCTTGTAATCAGATCTTTGACAGACAATACAATTTCACCGCAAGGCCCATTCAACAAAACCTATTTATGTACATCAACCCATCTGATGATAATGCATCTTATCTGTATGGTCATTAATCATTCTTTGCTTTTGAGTCTTTTATTCTTTATTGTTCTCTCTCTTGCTCGAGCAGGCCATCGTACGCAGTCGCACTCTTTTCAACTGCGACTAACATTTCACATCTTTTTGTCACACTTCCTGCTTTCCTGCACCGATTCTCTCACCTTTACTCTCTCTCTCTCTCTCTCCCTCTCCACCTCTCCACCTTCACTGCTATCTTCAACCTCCCACACGGTGCAAGCAGCACTTCCCTCTCCAGTTTCTAGTAGAATCTCTATCACCCGTCATGTGTTGGATAATCCCAGTTTACTTTATCCTAAGCCTCTGTCATCGTTTCTCCCTCCCCATCGCCTTGACGCCACAATTATAACTCAGTGTTAACATGCACAAAAATGAGAAACCCCTGCTTTTCTCCTGCTGTCTTTTTTTACTGTTCCTTAGTACTTATCTTTCCCCTTCCTCTCACTCCTCATCTGCCCTGCTATCTCACCATTTCTCTCCCTTCTCCGTCTCCTTTCGGTCCACTCTTTCCCCTCCCAGTGTGCTTTCTCCGTGTGTCTGTGTTTAAACTTTATAATCCTCATCACTCTCTGGCTCTACCCCATGTCTTTTCCCCCTGAAGTGTGTAAATCTTTCCCCCCCTCTCTCCCTCTCCCTGTCACTGTGCTCTTCGCTCCATATAAATCCCCATCCTCCTCTACTCCTCCGCCTCCTCCTCCACCACCTTCCCACTCCCTCGTAGTCACACATCTTTCCCTGATCTCTGCCTTATTTTATTCTCCTTGTGTTTTCAATCTTTTCCACCAAGCCTGCTTTACTATTCCACCCTTCCTCCCTTTTTCTTGTTATGATTTAACTTTTCATGCTCTCTCTATCATTCTGTGTGCCTGTCTGCTGTATATTTTTTGCACTCCAACTCTCTTCCCAGGTAAAACGCAAAGATCTACCTTTCCCCTGCCTCGGTCGGTCGTTCCATCCTCCTGCTCCCTCTCTCCTATTAAATGATGAATGAATTCTCCCTTGATCCCTTTACAGGAAACTGGATGCTTTTATTTATGATGCTGCAGTATTGAACTATATGGCCAGGAAGGACGAAGGTTGTAAGGTGAGGACTATCGCACACTGGCACTTTTGCTCACACTCACACTATGGATTCAACATATACATCTGCCTCTTGGTCTTTTTTTAATTTTTTTTTTTTTTTTAAATATCTGCACATTGTCCTTTTTCCAAGGTGATGACCATAGGCTCGGGGAAGGTTTTTGCCACCACAGGCTACGGTATCGCCCTGCACAAAAACTCACGCTGGAAACGTCCTCTTGACCTGGCCCTGCTGCAGCTGGTGGGAGATGGTGAGAACTATATGGGGAGGGGAGGGCAAGAGAGGAAAATGATTAGGACATTGGAGGGGCAAAAGGAAGGTTATGGGTAAAATGACAAGATGGAGAGACGAGCGACAGTAGCACATGGGTGGGGGGTGGATGGAGGACGCAGGGGGTAGATGAATGAGAGGATGTTAAAAAGGGGGTGGAGGAGTGTAAGGTGTGGCGAGAATAATGGCTGTAAGGGGTTTTGATTGTGACAGAGGGAATAATGGTGTGTAGGAGAGGGCTGATGGAGCTGTTAAAGAGGTTTGTAGGTCTCTTTATTGGCTAGAAGAGAGGAGGAGAAATAAACGGGGTGGTTGGGAGCAAGAAGAATGTTATTTGTTCATTTCAGGCATTGCAAAAATGACTTGATTCTGTTGGTGAAAGTGCACAAGCCTCTTCCCCCTTTTTCACTCCTCTCAATCCATCTGACTTTCACTCTCTTTCCCCTTTTTCCTGCTCCGACTGGTAAAAAAGAAAAAAAAAAAAACGGATTTACTTGTGTGAGTCAGTGTTGTAAAAAAGGATCATCACAACTTGTGCAGTGACAGATTTACACTCATTAGAGATTAGCTGAGACTGACACAGCGAGGAAGTGTGAGAAAAAAACCTCCCCAAAAAAAACGAGGAGAAACACCTGAAAATACCCTGAACATGAGATGTGGAAAGAGAGCGCTGAGGCAAATGGAGTTATAAAAAACAGATCGGCTAATTGAATAATTGATAGTTATGGGAGCATTATTAGCAAGCTGTTTGTCCGCTGCACAGACTTATGTCCAGGATTAATCCATGGGAGGCCGGTTTCTTGAGAGAATCTGTTTTTAGCAATAGTTGTCGGTACACTAATGCTTGATTGTCATTTTACACAGTTGGCCACACGCATTTATTGTCTCAATCGGATGCTGCTTGTTTGGCTTTTCCTCGTTTTTTAAATCAGCTTTGCTTATGGCGTGGCGGACAAAGCCCTTTAGCTGTTTCTGGCACACAGACACTTTAGCTGCTTACACACTGATAATGCCAATTTGGTGCCAAGATCTATTAAATAAGACTGACGTCTGGAGCTGAATAGCTGGACCTGGAGAAGTGTGTGTGTGTGTGTGTGTGTGTGTGTGTGTGTTCGTGCAAGAAAAACAGAGAGCCCAGACAGCTGCGACTATGTCTGTTGTTTCTTTAAATTCATGCCCTCGTCCTTGCGTCTGTTCTGTGTTGTAAAAGCCCTTAACATCAGCTGAGTGCGCTGGATGGATCTAGTTACAGGGTGGTGTTGAATGCTGAGGGTTCTAGTTGTAGGCAGGCATTATTGGAGTGGATTACTAAGGAAGAGGATTAGTTTGTTTGGATGTGGAGGGAGGGAGTGGGGGCTCACATTCAGCGTGCCCTCTCAACAATCGCCCTGCGGCTCAAGGACTCGGCATCACACCTTCAGCTGGGATAAATCATGTCACAGTGTTACATCATTATTGTAGCATGCTGTGTTGAGTCATATCATTTTACAACTGCATTAGAGGATAGAGGGGCACTAGAGAAGTCCGCTGCTGCTTTGTCAACCCTGTGAGTGTATTGTTCTCCTCGTTGTAGCCTCTGGTGGTTCATACCACAGCTTTAAGAGATGGACCATTGATCTCACTGCAACTTGTTTCCTGATAAAGGAAAAAAACTCCTGAGTAGCAAGATTTCCCTTTTTTTCTCTTATCATTTCCACTTCTATTTTTTGCATAGTATCATGATTTTGAATCCAAGAATATATTATTCAGTAACTACATATTAAAAAAAATGTGCGAAGCTGGGTTTGCAGCTCTTGGCTGGCAGAATGTTTTTTTTCTTCTCTTGTGATGAATGCTGAGAGGTTTGTCATGTTGTGATAAAAGCAGGGGATTGTACGGGTCATGGTTTACTGCTCAACAACTGTGGAGCTCAGCGTCTCTGGACATGTCTGGCAACATGCCACATCTGGCACACTGCAAAATGCAAACATGCATACAGCCACTTACACACACACACACACACACGGAGACACACACATGGAGAGACACACACACACACACACACACACACACACACACACACGGAGACACATACACACACTGTTTCCTTTATTAAATAACGTCTTTGTGGTGCATGCCAGCTATGCGTTTGCAGTGTGCCAGCTCTACCTGACCTGACCTGCCAGGAACGACAGAGGTGGAGTGTGGATTTGACACACCTGTCAGATTTGGCAGGCCTGAGCTGGCTGCGACTGAGAGGTAGAGACAACTGCCATCACAAAGGTCTAAGAGAGGGAAGAAACAGGCACAGCGAGAAGAGAGTCAGATTGTAAAAGAGGGAGACGAAAAAGCACAAGATGAATCACTGGATGTCAAATGGCAGGAAAAGCCAGGAGATGAGACTTAGAGCTTACAGAAAGGATTTGGCTGGGACTTGTGAAGTGGAGGGCAGACATGAGACTACCTGTTTATCTGTACCCTTCACTAAGACACTTGCTATTTTCACATCAGGCACCTGTTTGGACACATCGCTGCTACTGAAGGTCAATGACACTGATAAATCCTCTTCAGTGGGGCTACACATTGAAGTTAAAAAACAGACCTTTGTGTCTTGAAGTGTATGAGTGAATCTGAGTTGAGTTGTTACCTGAGTCTGCCAGTGGGCTGCAGCAGCGCTGTGTCCATCTGTTGCTGTAGCTGGAGGCCACGGCTGATTGGCTAATGATGTTCTACAGGAGACACATTAGCCAGATCACACAGATGACTGAGTCGGCTTCATCTGAGCTACACAAGCACGGCTAATGATGGCACAAATGGAAAAATCTTAGAGTTTGAGTTTTCTCAGAGCAGTGTGGTGTTGCAAGTGGACGCGTGTCAGCTTTTAAACCCCACTTTAGCCGTTTGACATGAAATACTTCAGAGAGTGTAACATGTAGTAAAATGTAACCTTCAGACCTTGTTATTGCAGTGCAGCTCATCCTGCCATGCGATTAGTGTAACAGAAAGCTCTCATTACGAGTTCTGTTGGAGAATACGCCTCTTTAATTCCATCATGAATCATATGCTGCATCTTCTGGCTGTCCATCACTATGGTTACACCAGCAACCCCCGCAGCCAATCATAGGTTTAGCAGGACAGCTCGGTTTCGTTAGGCCAGCGAGATCATAGATGAGAAGGCAGAGTTGTGGGTAAAGCGGTCTTGCCTGGTTCCTGGTAGGTTAGATGGGAATCTTGAATCCCCCAGAGCTTTACCACCTTGATGGAGATTCTGACCATCCCTCCAGCACAATTAAATGATTATGATCTTCTCCCTCTGCCTCTGTCTCTGCCCCTCCCGATCGGTTCTCTCTCTCTTCACATTTCTCCCTCTTTTCCTCTTCTCTCATCCTCTTCAAGCTGAGGAGTGTTCCCGCTGTTTGTCATAATGACACAATCTCAGCCTCTCGTCCTCCATCTCTGCTTCCCTTGTTCCAGCTCCCTCTAACTCTCTCCGTCTCTCTGTCTGTCTCATTTCCCTTGATGCGTTCGTGGACAGAGAAAGAATGCCACTCCCTCTCTCTCTTTATAAAACATTCTTCCCAACTCTCTCATTACCTCCCTCCCTCTCTTCTCTGCGTGTTCAACCTATCCAACCATCTCACTGTGGCTCCTGGCCTCCCCTTCTCCTCCTCTCCTCATTTACCCCAGGTTACAATGTTGAGATTAGGTTGTCGGTGCCATTTTACTTCTCAGTGCTACTTCATTGTTTTGGACTCTCTCTCTCTGTCTCAGTCTCCCTCCTCTTTGTTACTTTGGACACAGTGGTGCTTTTTGTATTACTGACCTCTGACCTTGAGGAGTCACCTTGGATAATGGGCAAACAGCAAGTAGTACTGTAGACTTTAGTGCTTATTATTAGCCTTTCTGTCTCCCTGTGTGTCCCCTGTCTCTATCTATCTATCTATCTATCTATCTATCTATCTATCTATCTATCTATCTATCTATCTATCTTTACATCTATACATGATCCCTTCTCTCATCTCTTAAACCCTTTCTCTCGTCTTTTTCTGGTCTTTCTGTTTTTGTGCACTTCACTCCCCTCTTCTTCCCTCTCAATTTCTCTCTCTCTCTCTTTTTTTAATCGCTCTCTACTTCTACCCCCTTTTAACCTCATCCATTTTCTTTTCCCCATTTCTCTTCCTCATCCTTGTCCACCCTTCCCATCCCCCACCTGTCCCCTTTTTCCAGATGAGATTGAGATGCTGGAGCGCCTCTGGCTGTCAGGTATTTGCCATAATGACAAAATTGAGGTGATGAGCAGTAAACTGGATATTGACAACATGGCCGGGGTCTTCTACATGCTGCTGGTGGCTATGGGCCTCAGTCTGCTGGTGTTTGCCTGGGAACACTTGGTCTACTGGAAGCTGCGCCACTGCATGGCCACCAGTTCTGGCAAATTGGACTTTCTCCTGGCAATCAGCAGGGTAAGTGTTTTTGTCTGTGTGTGTGTAGTGTTTTTCTGCTCTGGCACAATAGATGTCTTAACTTTCAACCCATTAAAATCCCTTTTTGTGGGAAGCACTAAGTTTGTTTTTTTTTTTTTGCAATTTTGTGCACTTAAACTGTGCTGCACGAAAACAGGACAACATAATTAGAACCAACATGCTGTGCATGTAACCATATTCACACACACGTGTGAGCATGTGTGTTCCTGCCTGTGTGTGCCCTTATCTGTTCCTGAGTGCCTGAGTGTGAGTGTTTGAAAGTGTGAGGTCTGAGGTCAATTCAATTCCACTCAGTCAATTCAGGAGATTAATTGAAATTCAATTCTGCTCACACCCTGGATATCCTGTTCCTTTGGCAGTGACCTTGACAGAAACAGCCCACACCATATGCATGTGATTATTGTAGCATCACTGACGATTCGTCCTTTTTCACCACTGTTATTGTAATTTATGCATTAATGTATGCTATTTCATTAACCAAACAATTCACAACCGTACTATAAATAGGAATGGATGTTTATCTGAAAAATAGCAATCTTGCATTTCTTTTGAAAACTGGAAATTAATTGTGTTGCTGTTTTATGATTTCCATTCTCATCGACTCCCTTCTTTCTTTCTCCCCTTCTCCATCTCTCATGTATATGTAATAAAGTCTTTTTAATAAAGTTTTTTTTTTACATGAGTAGCATATCTGCAGCTGTGCATGTCTATGTTGTCTTTTAATCCATTTCATTTTTCATTTTAGAAAATAGTGTTTAATCAATTTCATTTACTATTTCAGTTACTTAGTTAATAGAGTCTCATTTTACATTGAGTTAAATTACTTGTTTCTTCTTTTTAACAGGGCATGTATAGCTGTTGCAGCTTTGAGGATGAAACAGCGCCAGGTGGAGCTAAGTCTTTGCCTCCTCATCACCACACTGCAATGGTTACAGTCCCATCCCAGCCGCATGTTGTCTCAACGTCTATGACCAACCCAGCTATGGCCATGGCGCAACAGCAGCAACCACCGCAACAGCAGCAACCACAGCCCGTCTACAAAACACCTCTACCGGGCTCTCCTCCCACCGTGGTGCATTCTGGGACAGCACTGGGTCCCTCCAACACCCCCATTGCCGGTGCACCCCTCCCTTGCTCCACCTTCCTGCCCCGGCCAGACCGTAGACTGGCTGTGGTGGATCGCTGGAGGCTGCCCAAATCTGCTACAGCTACCAACCCTATGGCTGTAAGGGGGACCATCACTGACATGGGACCCTTTGCTCAGAAAGTCCCACCAAACTGGGCTTCAACTGCTGGAGGGGGTGGGGGACTTGATGGCTATAAGAGATACTATGGTCCCATTGACCCTGAGGGACTGGGGCCCTGCATGGAGCAGCAGGCAGGGTCCCAGACCCCCAAGACTATGCCCAGGGGCCACCCCCAGCCACCTCCAGCCAGTGTGGCCTTCTACTCAGAGAAGGGCATGGACCATGGGGTGGGGAAGAGGGTGGTGGGAGGTGGCAGCGGAGGTCAGGGGAAAGGGGCCGCTAAATCTCTGGGCACTCCCAGACTGCCTCCTAAGAGTCAGGCCCCTCTGCCTCCTACACCCCCACTGCCACACCCCTCTCCCCCTCTCCCCTCATCCTTCTGGAGGAAGCGCAGGCCCAAGAAGCCCAAAGAGCCTGGAGGGCCACTGTACGAGAACATTCTGCCCCTGGGGCGGAGGGGAGGAGCACGCGATGGAGTGAGGGAGGGAGGAGGGAGGAGGGCACGCCCCCTCTCTCCCCCGCTCTCACTTCCTGTGCCAGTACCCCTCAGCCCCTCCTACACCCCCCCCTCTCCGTCCGCATCCTTGCACTACACGTCCTCTTCCTCTTCGTCAACCACGTCATCCACATCCACATCTTCATCTGCCTCATCTTCTCGCTCCACCTCTCCGACTTACTCCTACAGCTCCTCCAGGAGCACGCGAGACAGAACTGGAGGAATAGATGGAGAGGATGATGATGACGATGATCAGCTGACGGAAGAGTCAAGCCTCCTCCTTGGCAGGGGGAGGGAGAGGGAACGTTCAATCATCCGGCCTCGTTCCCTCAGCCACGGGCGCCTGCCACCACCCATACCCCCCAGGAAACCACGCACATCCTGGGGTGACAGAGAACGAGAACGAGAAAGGGAGAGAGGGGGGAGTCAACTGTCTCAGCTCCAAGAGTGGTGGGCAAGCTGGAGTGAGAGAGAGAGGAGTGGTGGAGATGCAGAGAGGCAAAAAAGGGAAAAGAAGAGGAGAAAAGAGAAGGAGAAAGAGAAGAAGAAAAAGAAAAAGAGCAAGAAGAGGAAAAAGAGGGAAGAAAGGGAAAGAGAGCGAGAGAGAGAAAGGAAGCGGCGAAAGGTGAAAAAGAAGAAGAAGAAGGCACTGAAGACAAAGAAAAGAAGGAAATCAACTGGGGGAAAACGTTCTGAGCCAGAGGAGGGAGATGTAGAGCCAGAGAGGGAAGGAGAGGGAGAAGGAGAGAGGGAAGGAGGAATGCAAGACTACTCCTCCTTCTCTACTCAGTATCGGTGCACATTTGGGGAGAAAGGGCGGGATTCATGGGAAGGAGAGAGGGACAGAGGCAGGAGAGAAGGAGGAGACGAGGGTAACGACAGGGAAGAGGAGGACAGTGGCAGAAGCAGAGAGAGGCATCCCAAATCCTCACGCCCTCATTCCAGACATCGTACCCCCAGTAAGCGCTACCCCAACCTCAACAAACTCCCCGCATCAGTCAAATTTTGGGTGAATGGGAGAGGAGATGGCTCTAATACTCCCCCGACATCCCTCCACCCGCTCCTTCCATCCTCCAAGCGGAGAAGAAGTGGAGGGATGGACAGAGACGATAGCGGTAGAGTTGGAGAGCGGCGTCCTTTGTTAATGCATTATGAAAAAGAGAAAGCACAGACAAGAGAAGGGCTGTCCTTCCATGAGTGGGACTCTGAAGATGACGAGGATGACAATGACGAGGAAGAGGAAGAGAGGGAGAGACTGAGGGAGGAAAGGGGAAGGAGAGCAGGTAGGGGGGCAGTGTCTGAGTCAGAGAGGGAAAGGGCCAGGGCAGAGGACAGTTACTCAGATGAGGGCTCGTCAGGGGAGTTTGGCCGATTTGAAAGGTACTGGGAGGGAGGCGCAGGGGGAAGCAGCACTGGAATAGGAGGCATAGGTGGAGGAGGCTGGTTCTTTGGCACCTACCCCTCCAGAGAGAAAGGGGGCAGTATCAACAGTCGGGATGATTCCTTACTAGGGACTCGGGCAGAGGGATGGATTGGTACTGATTTCTGGGGTTCAGGGCCAGGTGTAGGTTGGGGATCAGAAGGAGGGAGTGGAGGGCTTGGCTCACAGTGGCCACCTCCGCCCGCAGCCTTCCCTCCTCCGAGAAGATACTGGTCAATGGACAAGATCCCTGTGAAGGGAGAGAGGAAATGGAAGAGTGGAGGAGGGAAGAGCAAGGGGAGAGCTAGGGACAGAGGGGAAGAAGCAGGACGGGTCACCATGTGTTCCTGTAACCTTTACCCCCAACCCCACCCTTACCCACATCCCCACAGTCGCTCGCACACCTCCCACTCCAAGAGAGGAACCACGGCGCTTTCTCATAGCCAGGAAGAGCTTCTCCCCCACTGCCACAGCTTCAGCGGGGGCTCTCGCCCCAAGCCTCTGCCTCCCAAACCAGATCCCAGTCAGGCCAAATCCGGCAGCCAATCTAACCTCAGCCTCAGCACACAGCCCACAGACCATCCACCTCAGCCTTCACCGTCACCACCCCAGCAGCCGTCCATGTCTCCCACGTCCCTCCCGATGCCCATACCGCCTCCGCCCTCCTCATCCTCCGTCTCACCACCAGCAGGGGTAGGGATGGCAGGCCAGGGCCAGGCTCAGGCTTCGGCCAGTGCCAAGCTCCAGTATCAGAGACTGCGCTCGGTGCCACAGCCACGGAGGTTCTACTCCCCCCACCTGCCACTCAAAGCCAAGAGCCTGTGCTCGCGCAGAGGGTCGGCCCATTTCTCCAGCCTGGAGAGTGAGGTATGACAGGGGGAGAGGAGAGAGGGAGACGTGGGAGCGAGCACCATTGCTAGTGAGAACCGTGGTGCCATGGCAGCTGTAGCCAGGGATGACACCAGAGATGCGGCTGCCTTGGTGACCATAGGTAATCAATTAGCAACCATCACTGCGGGAACTAATCTGGACAGTAGTTCTATTGCTAACACTACTTTGTGTGAGAGCAACACTGCTGCCACCCGCTCCATTGTACGTGTTCTAGTGAGGGCGACAGTGAGACGCCACACCAGGGTGAGCTACATCCGTTTGGATGGTTCCCATGATGACGAGAGTGAAGGCGAGGCTGCATCATCGAGGACCGCAGCCCCAGAACTTCTTCTCCGCTCAGAATTGAGCTTTGTGATGTCATCTTCGGTTCTCCTCCCCTCCCCGAGTCACAACTATGGATAAGAGTAGTCTCCAATCTGTGAGTAATGATGTCATATTTGTACACACAGACTCACACATGCACGAGCCCACGCACGCACGCACGCACGCACACACAAACAGATATATGCTCAAAACGTCTCCCTCCCTCTGGCTTTGAGAACACTCCTTGGTGGGATGTGGAGAGACCCACCCTCTCCCAGAAGATGCCAGTGTTTGGTCAATAGACTCTGGCTCCCTGTCCTCATTGGCTGTTGGCTTTTGAACTGGATTGGTGGACTGCTTCTTGGTGTCGGAGAGACTGCCCCTTCTTCTTCCCTTTCGTAAATCAGTTGATATGAAAAGCAATGCAGTCACCTCTCCCATGCACTCTGTCTGCCTGAAAACCTTTCACTGGGCAGTGAGGACAGTGCTATTTATTTGCCCTTTGACCTCATGACACCATCAGACCCATCTAGCTCTACCCCAGGACCATCTACGTGATGTCATGTTTTACTAGAAACTCTTTTAACCAATCAGATTGAACAGGAACCACTTCTCCTCCTCCCTGTTGGAGCTTGTCATGTCACCTCTGGTCCGACCAGAACTCGAACACAGTTGAGTATCAAAGTATTTGAACAACAAACTGAACTTTAAAAAGAGAAATAACAATAAGAACAAAAAAGACATGTAGCAGATTTTCTTTTATGTCTGTCTTTTCTTTTCTTTCTTACTCAGACCTTTCTCCCCATCCCCTCTTTTTTATTCTATCAATATATTTCTCTCACTGTGTTAGTGTTTTAATAAGGAGGAAGCTGGATGTGGCTAGTGTTGGAAGTGGGAATGATTCAACAGCAGTGCCAAATTTCCACTCAAGAGCTTTTAAGCAAGATTGGTTTTCAAGTAATTTGTTTTCATAGATAAAGCCCCATCTTTTCTTTCTACATGTGAGCTACGCATAAATCACCATCATGTAAGTGGATCAAGGGGATGATTGGTGCAATATCTGTAATTGGCACTAGATGGCTGCATAATATTCAAATAAGCTTTGGAGACAATTGTGCAAGAGGCTGCGGGTGACTTTAATAATTGTAGCTATATGATACAGAGGAAGGGGTGTGAAGCTATGAACTATTACTTCTATGAAAGTGGCCAGTCAGGATTTATTCAGAGGAAGTAGGGGGAATTGAATAGCTCTCTTAGGATATTATTGTATTACGCTACTATATTGTACCTTGGCAGAGTTTGTAGATGATGGATTATATGAAGCACAATTCCTCATTGTATTTCTCAGACATATGTGCCACAGTTGTAACTGCACAATCTACAGGTAACATATTTTTGCTGATATGTGAAAAACAGTTGATGTTAACTCATGTTACTGTCGTGGACAATAAAAATTCACCGTAACCAAGGTTAAAGTCTCAAAGTGCCACAGACACTTGTGCTGAGGAAATGATACTTTGACGATTTCCTTTCGGCAAAAAAGACTGAACAATATACTGTGAATGTTTCCGATTTGAGGTGCACATTCAATAGCTGAGACTTCACTGAATGCAGTCAGTAATAACTCCTGTTATCACGATTATCAGATGACTGTTTGACTTTGAGCAATATTCCCACCTTCAATGTGATGCAATGGCACATCTGTTTGCATCTGAGACATTGTAATTGTTGTTCCTCTATTTCATCATTTGTTTCAGCCAGAGTCAGATGTTCCACATGTTCAATGCTTTTCTTATAGGTGAATAGATTTCATCTAATTTGGTCCGATGTGATTGTAATAAATAAGTTAAAGGTCCTCTGCACCTGGCTCCGGCTGACCAATATGAATACAAAATGCTATGTGTTCAAGAGAGAGTAGTGAACTGTAGCATTGTACCGTCTGTGAGCTGTGCCAAAAGCCATCTACTGTGTGAACTGTGCCAATGTTGCCAACATTGCAATGCATACACCTTCCATTTTCATAAGGTCAACATACACACCTCATCTCTCACACTAAGACCAGCCACAGCCCAGCTCTTCTTCTATTGTAGTTGAATGTAGCTTTGACATGATGTAGCAAAAGACCTACACCTACTTTTAGACTTTGTAGCTTTTTGGATGCTGTTGATAATGGCTAGAAGGAGGGGGGGAGGGGGGGGGGTTGACCTGCAATGTGAGGGACTGTGCGTTGTGTTTGTGCATGTCGTCACAGATCGAAGGGTTAGTCGACCTTCTCAATTCCCCTTTTAACTCCTTTGCCTTTCAATGAGGGCAGACTGTACCTTTTATCTGCACATGGATTGCTTTTTTTCTAGGTCTGTGTGGGGCAATTTTTAAAACGATCTGTCTTTGTTTTTAGAGAAATGCTTTTTGCCGTTACCCATCCTTTGGAAAACTCCAGAATCATTGCATGTTTAGCTGAATGAAATCTCAAAGATTTGTGGTGGTGGTGGGTGGGTGGGGTGGGGGGTTGGGTGGGTTGTGTAGTTCAATTGTAGCAAATGCTTAGGACCCAGGGCAGCCACCTTTCAGTGAGGTAGTAAGCTTGCTCTACTCTGCACCCCAACAGTGGAAACCACGGCAACAGTTCGACTGCTTCCTGTGTAGTAGAACACAGTCATTTTCAACCAATCAACAGGGCTTAAACCTGGTATGTCATTGAGCATTATTAATTTCTATTGAGGCGCTAATACTTAAGTCTGTGACTGCATGAACAGAAGTGACTCTTAAAAACCCTCTGGCTTATTTTGTTTTATTTATTTTACTTTATGCTGAGAAAAAAGAATATATTAAAATATACTATGTTTTTGAGAATGTACCATGTTATACTGTGATTTAACTGAGATATTTTATTGTATTCAATTATCATTTGAATTCTATCATTTATCTATAAAGAAATATATATGTACAAATAAATATATACATATATATACATACAGGTATATATATATTAGTTAAGTTTGGTATATTTGGAGGAAGTGTTAGATGAAATAGTTTTAAATGTTTTAGCTTTGTAGCGATTCTAGACACTGAAATCATTTTTGAATTTCGATTCCTCCTATATGACTGTGAAGACATTAGTGCCTGTGACAAAAAAGACAAGTAAAAGTCTAAACTCTCTATTCATCTATATCTACTATAGCTATCAGTCTGTCACTCCTCTCGTACTACCTAACATTACTTTTTATCTCGCTGCTCTTACACATCAGTATGTTTCTCTCACACAGTCTGCTGTCTCTTTTGCTTTCTCCTGCTCTCCTCTGCACTTCTTTCTCTTGTGTTTTTGTTTTCATTTGCAAGCGATAAACATTCTCCACCTCTCCTCTTTTAAAGTTTTATCATATGGTGATCACATCACTTTGTTAATTAACCCGTCCATTGACCTTTGCATTTTTTCCTTTGATCACTCTCTTTTTAAATCAGCTCATTCTTCTTTCTGTCTTCACTTCACTTAGCAAAAAACAGAGACCAGTAGATACTGTGTTCTTGCTCCTTTTGACTGATTGTTGATAATGATGATCAATTAATTGATTGATGAAATAATTAATGAACAATGTTACTATTACTGATGTGACTGAAGTGTGTATCTGACGACCACGCCACTGTAGCAAGTCTGGGCTGTACCACACCACCAGCGAGCAAATGAGGCCACAGTTGCTATGGTGTTGCCATGGCATTTTCATGGCGTTGCCATGGTGTCCTCTGCACCGCCACCACCTGGTGCCTGCTGGGTAATATAGCATAATGTCCTTCACTTTCCCCAAAGCACTGGTCAAAGATCTGCTATGCGCCCGTCTGCTCAGTCCTGACCTTAATCAATGGGAGGTGAAATATTTAAAAGCTGAGGGGCAGCATGGTGGTGACGTGTCTGCTGTCTATGCTGATCTAGACTGGACTGGTTTGGCTTGAAGTGACTATGATAAAGTGTTGCTATCGTGTCGATCACCTAATCTTTAAATCATCAGTTTGCGCTGCCCTGCATGTAATCCCAAAAGCTCCATATCACTGATAGCCCGAAACCAGCCAGAACAGTTGTGTGCTTCTCTCTCTATACTGCACATTTCCAACACTGTAATGTGTGTGTTTCATGCTGAGAGGGGACATGCAATGTCTGTGTATTGCATGTGTACTAATCATGTGTAAGTCCACTGCAGCATGATTCTGTAGTGCTCTCCTTCGCTCTCCCTCCGTTTTTCCCTCTCCTGCTATTTCTGAAAAACACATAGACACATTTTGCTGTGCATGCATATTTAACACACAATGCGTACATCACTCAGCCAATGATCCTCATCTTCCTCTAGCCCTCACTAAGCTGCAATCTAAAGCATCGCCTCAAGTAGTCTGATTATCCCACACAGGCACACGTGTGGCTTCACAACACTCACACAATGTACAAGTCACACACACACACACACACACTGTAGATAGTACTCTCATTGCTGGAAAATTCAGAGTCTTTTGTGTAAAACTTGGTTCAGAGATTTTGTTACCAGAGGAAGTGAAGTACATTCACAATGACTGTTCTGCTTGTTTTGAGCTATCTGTCTCGTGAGTTTGCTGTATAGCCCTGCACTCTGCTTTGCACTGTCTTGCCTGTTCTGATCCATCAGTTCCTGTTTAGAGTAGTCAGGTTCAATTTG